AACAGGCAAATGATTAGTTACTGAAGGATATTGAATAGAAGGTATATGAAAGAAATAAATTATGAAATAGGTACACGTAACAAGTTGGCAATAGCTATATCTAATTCATCTGTTTTCTGTTAAATTTTCATGTTGTTTGATCTGACATTATTTTGGTATACCATTTCGATTTGTCCTTATGAAGTCATTCATATGTGTCTAATTTTAATAGGTTAATACAATTATTTTTTCCAACTCTTTCACTTTTGAAGAAAAAAACTGGGCCCGCAAACACATTAGAATGAAGTAATATAACATTTCATGTTTTAGTACAACTTAACCTTGAAAATATGCACTATCTTTAAAGTGTTCCTTCGCATACATATAAAAAACCTAGTAAATAATTATATAAGTAGAAAAGTTGTATCTAAATATTAGAAAGATTTATCAAAATAACAACAAAAATGTTAGAGCAAAATTCAATAAGAATTTCGCATCTTAAAACTATTATCTACCAATAAATAAAAATATATATATATATATATTTCACATAATTATGTTATGTCCTGCTACAAGTCTACAAACATAAGAATATATGAAAAGAAATTAGAAGGAACTCACTAGGTCAACAGAGTCGCGAGATGCAACAGCTAAAATGTCTGCACAAGAGACCACGTTGCCTTTGCACTTTCATTAAGAGTGCTTTTGATTTCATCAACCACATCGAAACCCCTCACTGAGTTTAAATTCGGAATGGCTGTCTTCTCGCCAGTGAAGGTATCAGTGTCGTCAAGCAAAATTGATCCGTCACAACCCTGTAATCCATATCAACACAATATATAAATATCTGGATGCATATATATTAACGATGAACACTTGAAAGTCGAACGTTTTGTTTCGTATTACATGACATGATGAAACTATGTCACATATATATAATAACCCATAAAGTAAATACATATGATAACCACAGATTGTGATTCCTTGTTTGCAATTTTCTTACTGTTAATGACAGTACTGGAGACAATGCTGCTCGTCTACCCTTCTAATGAAATTATAATATGGCTCCACCTCAAACTATAAGAGTTTGAGACTTTTTAAGGACTTATGGCCGACTTACATATTAAGAAGTCATTCGAATTTATTTTACCACATAATACTTACATATTAAGTATATATGGTGGTCCATGACGTGTTCTTATACTAAAGTGAAATCCCGATTTATTTTACTTCTCTGTCATTCGGATTTTCTACCAATTAACAACAAATTGCTTGGGTGTTTGGTAGAGGGATTCATTCCCTGATTCGAATCATGATTCGTGGTTCGCTACAGTATTTTCTCTCATAAAAAATTCACGTAAATCGAAAATTGTTCGAATCACATGGTTTGAATCCTCCAACCAAACTTAAAAGAAACAGAAATTTCATGATATTGTATATATTACCACAGATATCCACAACACAAAATTAACCCCCTAAAAAAAAAAACATTTTATTATGATTCTATATATATATATTAGTATATACATCTTACGTACGTTGACAAAGCAATCATGAAAGTGGAGGCGGAGAAGTGAAGCTCCCATTCGGCTCTCGCGGTTAATGGCTCGTGCGACTGCTGATCTGATGAGGCCCAATGCCTGAGGGCATGACTTTTCATAGAAATCAGTTGTGAGTTGTGCACATGCAGGAATCATAATAGCAGTAAATACAACTAATAAAGACTTATTACGCCCTGCCATTCTGATCCTACTACTTACAACAACTAGTTATTTTAATTGATACTCCAAAATTCTTTTGAACATGTGTTTATATAGAGGTAGGAGAACCACCGGTTGATGTAGAATATATATATATATATATATATATATATATAATATTGATAGATAATTACAAGATGTCCGGCCATATGAGCTCCATTGACCAAGACAATTGTATAAAATACTAGTATATATGTATGGAGGTCGGTAATCGTATTTATGTTCACACATTTCCTCGTACGTTTGTTGTTTGCGAATATAAACTCTTGTTAATAATTATATAAATGATAACAATAATATTTAAATTTAGCGTAACTAACATAATGAAGACTTTTATCACTCCAAATTCGAAATTATACAATGTACCAGTAGATTAAAAGAAAAAAAAAATTCCTCCTACAGTTCACTATCCAATAATATTACAGGCCAGCTACAAGGTATACAAATTCAAACGAACCTGAAAGCTGGACTGATGGTAACATGGTAATTAGTCAACTTCTGAAGGGAAAAAAAAAAACTCATAATTTCAAAAGTCAATTCTGTTGTCGTTTTTATGTGCCTACAATATTCATGATCTCAACAAAACATTCGTAATCCAAAAAAAAATACACAGAGTATTGGTAAAGGTTTTGGAATATCCGCGATCTCTTCGAAATGTTGACAAATGGCAGATTATAATATCTGATATGGAAAGTAGAAACTTTGGTTTTTTGTTTTTTTATCTCTTTGCGGAAGAGTGTAAGTGAAAAAAAATAAGAGAGTTTATTCGGTAGTCCATCTTATCGGTAGTCTTAATTTTTGATGTTGAATTAAGTTAAAGTCACATCAAATTAAAAAAATACACATAATTAACATATTTTAATATAAATCGACGGTTAAAAAATAAAAGATTACCAGTGGTCCATTTTTACAAAGACTACTAGAGAAAGTCCTAAATCATAAATAACCAACTGATAGCATGTGTTGTACTATTTCATTGCACTGGCCTTATCCTTTTTTCTTTTTCTTTGGAGAGAATCGAATAGATATTTAAGGCCACGTTTATTTCACTAGTTCGAATCACAATTCAAATTTTTTGTTAGAATGTTTTCTCTTACAAAAATTGAAAATTCAATTTTTTCTGTTATAATATTTTCTCTCACATGAATTCACTTATTTTAACTCAAGTTTTCAACTCGAACGAACAAAACAAAGAGAAAATCAATGAAATTAGCACAAACGCAAACACCGTTCATTTTATTCGTTCGAGTTGAAAACTTAAGTTAAAAAGTGAATTCATATGAGAAAAATACTGCAGCAGAAAAAGTTAAAATTTAATATTTTATAAGAAAAAACACTGTGGTGAAAATTTATATTGCGATTTGAACAAGCGAAATGAATGAGAATCATTGCAATTAATTATTCAACATTCTACCGGATATACAAATGGTGAAAATTTTAATGACATTAGAGTAACAACCAAAGAGGAGGGGAAAAGCTCTGGAATCATGCTTGGTGATTGGTGCGGATCTGAGAATTTGCATTTAAACACGAGTAGGAAGGAATAAAGAGTACAATGTCATCTGCAAACAATATATATATATATATATATATACAGAAAACTCTATAATATATTATTGAAAATATGCCATATTTTACTGACAATTTGTTAGTATTTTCTGTGATTATTCTTAACAATGAATGATTGAATGCAATGCAATAGAATACAGTACTCGATATATATAATGTTGAGATAATTAATAAGACATACAAAACACTACCTTCCAAAGAACGAAGTCTTGGAAAATATACTTAGAATATACTTGTCCGCTGGCTGAATTAAAAATAAAAATTTGCAAGGATATATATATATATATATATTAAAATGATAATGTCAAAATTACTTCATATATATATATGTGTGTGTGTGTGTGTGTGTGTGTGTGTATAGAGAGAGAGAGAGTGATAAGACTCTGCCCATTCCCTTGGAGTCACCAAGCCCCATTACAAGAGAGTACAATTGAAGAGGAAGCTAATCCAGAATTGGGCCTAGAAGATCAGAAATCAGCCCAAGGCACAAGAAGCCCACGTCGCACCAGGAAGCCTCCAATATGGATGAATGACTATGTCGCTTGATGCCTTGTTACGACATGTCGTTTGAGAGTTGGTTGTTGCAACCAATTTCTATTGTTTTCTTTGTTCTATTTTGTTTGTTTTGGCATTTCTGTTTGTAACCATTTTTTGTTAGAGTTTGTTAGCCTTCGAGAACCGTGCTAGATAGAGAAAGGTATATGTTCTGGATTTGTAAACATTAAGACATATATGCGTTTAGAGCAAGAATTCGTGTCATTGTTCAGATTATAATTTGTGACTCTCTAGAGTGTTTATTCTTATAAAAAATACACGTAAATTGAGAATAATTCTGAATCATGATTTTAAACCCATAAACCAAACGTCGTGATCCTTTGCCAACATTCTACCTAAAAATAGACACAAATTTTTTAGGTTTTAGTCAAGCTGTTTTAGACAGCATACTCTTACTAGGAACGTTGAGGTATAGCAAAACAATTTATGATATGTTATAAATAGTGAAGAAATTAAAATCATCATAATATTTACAACGTTATTTTGCTATTCTTAAAATATTTCAAAAATATTTGTTGTGCAAGACTTGAGCTAGTTCGGCTGACTATTGTAGAATGCCAAACGGGCCTGCCCCAAGTATGAATAAAGGACTGGACCTTGACCCTGGGCTTCTGAGACTCTGCCCTGCTCGAACCTGTAAATGGTGGGAACTTTACAGCACAATTACGTTTTTTTTTTTGTAGAAAATTACTGAATTTCCTTTTGTTGGTACAGTTATTTTGACTAAAATAGTTATTAATCAAGAGTAAGAAATAAAGGTCGTAACTCGTACACTTTTAAGGGGTATGTCTCCTTTCCCCTTCTTTTTTTTACTTGATTTTTGGCTAAAAGAACATCAAGGCTTTCAAAGTAGGTATTTTGTGTAATTACCATACGTTTAAATACCAACTACCACTGTTATCAGACCAACATACTGCCTATAGCCCATCGGTGACTGATAGTATCCTACTGTGGTACTGAATATAGTCCATTATGATAAATGTTTAGCCATAACAGTAACCGTCCGTGCTACCAAAGTTGTTCTTGTTGTAAAAAAAAAAAAAAAAAAAAAAAAAAAAAAAAAAAAAAAAAACTTTTTTTTTTAAAAAAAAAAAAAAAAAAAAAAGAAAGAAAACCTCGAACTCTACTCAAGTGAACGAGTCCTTTTTACCTTGGCGAATCGAATCTCTGATTCTGTAATGTTTTGGAGGAGAAATCACCCTGTTCATTTTCCTATTCAAATTCATGGCTTTCCTTCTCTTTCCTCCAATCTCCTTAAATCTCTCTCACTCTTCTTCCTCCACTCTTCTTCTTCTTCTTCTCTTTCCACCATCTCCATTAAACCCTCTTCTGTTATTGCAACAAATTCTCACACTGCAGCTGTAAGTCTCTCTCCTATTACCTCTATTTGCTCTTTGCTCACCAACCATAATCGCCAAACTGCAAATATTGACCATTTGTTAAAAGGGTACGAGGAAAAACTCAGCTCAACTGTTGTTCTTCAGGTTTTGATGAATTATAGGCAATTGGGTAGGATTAGAACCTTGGAATTCTTTTCTTGGGCTGGATTGCAAATGGGTTTTCAGTTTGATGATTGTGTGATTGAGTTCATGGCTGATTTCTTAGGAAGGAGGAAACTGTTTGATGACATGAAATGCTTTCTCTTGACACTGGCCTCCCATGGAGGCCACGTCTCATGCCGTGCTTGTTCGATTTGCATTAGGTATTTGGGTAGACAAGGGAGGGTTAAGGATGCGCTTAGCTTGTTTGAAGAAATGGGGTCGAGATTCGGGTGCAAAAAACCTGATAATCATGTGTACAATAACATGCTCTATGTGCTTTGTAAGAGGAATTCTTCTGAGGAGTGCTTGATTGATTTAGCACTTGAGGTTTTTCGGAGAATCGAAATCCCGGATACATATTCATATAGCAACATTATTGTTGGGTTGTGTAAATTCGATAGAGTTGATACTGCCCTTGAGGTTTTTGGTGAAATGAGGAGCAGGGCTGGTTTGGTTCCAACCCGAACGGCGGTGAACGTTCTTGTTGGTAAGTTGTGTGAGTTCAGCGCAAAAGAAGGAGGGGTTGAGAAGGTTAGGGTGAAAGAAAGCACTAACCGCAGGCCTTCTACGATTTTAGTCCCGAATGTAGGTGTGAAGAAGAGTGGTGCTATAGAGCCTGCGATTCGAGTGTTTTGGGAAGCTCATTATATCGGTTTGTTACCTAGCTCATTTGTCATAGTGCAGCTCCTGTTGGAGCTTTGTCGAGTGGGGAAAATGGATGACGCCGTCGAGGTATTGAAAGTTGTTGAGAATATGAAACCAAGTTGTCTCGATGAGAGTTACTCTATCGTGATGAAAGCCATGTGCGATCATCGTCTTGTGGAGCAAGCAAGCCGTTTGTTTTGGAGGATGCTTTCGCTAGGGAAGAAACCGAAGCTTTCGGTTTATAATTCTGTTATCTCCATGCTGTGCAAAATTGGGGATTTGGATAGTGCTCAAAAGGTCTATAAGATCATGAATAAAAACAGATGCGTGCCAAATAGTTTGACATATTCTGCATTGATTCATGCTTATGTTGAAGCTAGAAATTGGGAAGCTTCCTATGACTTGTTGATGGAAATGTTGGGATTTGGGTGGTCCCCACATTTTCACACATATGATATGGTGGTGAATCTCTTGTCACAAGCTGGGAAGATGGATTTGTTCTTTAAACTGGAAAGGAAGTTGGAGAGCCAGAGTTTGCAAAAGCTCTGTAAAATGGGTCGGTTGGAGGATGCTTATGAGAAACTAAAATCAATGATGGATAGGGGTCTTCATCCACCGGGGCACATAAGGGACGGTTTTGAACACGCGTTTGAAAAGCGCGGCAAGCGGAAAATAGCTCAGGAATTGCTGGAGAGAATGGAAAAAGTAGACTACTCTGATGGGAAGAAGTGAGAACTGTCTAGTAAGTAATGACAATTGTTTTCCTTTTGCCGTTGAGAAATGTTGGGTGTGAACCTGAGGGTTCCTTTAAAAGGAAAATGCCTGCCGGTGAAAATACTTGGAAGGTTTCTTTCATAAGTACATAACAGGCTGCTTTTGACTCCGGTTTTTCTGGACTAACATTCTTATTTGTGGTGAAATTTTAACCAAAATAGTAACATTAAATGCATTGTTTAAAACCCTTGAACCACAAACCTGTGTTTAATATAATTATTTCGGGACTAACAGTGCTAGTCTTGTATACTATATATATATATATATATATGCATATACTATATATATATATATATATATATGCATACGCGCGCGCGCACTTATGGTTATGTACAAATATGCAAGGTGCTCAGTAATTCTTTTGCGATTATGTAGAACTACTGCTTATTTGCTATTCATACTCTAAAATGTTTACTCTGAAAACTGACACCATCCAACAAACAAACATCTGTTTAACTACCATGTTTATAATTTACACAAAATTCATAATTTGTTACATAAACACACCATGATCCGAGTATATCAAGCACTGGTTTCACCATCCAACAAACAAACATCAGTTTAACTACCATGTTTATCATTTACACAATTCATAATTTATTACATAAACACAGCATGATCCGAGACCGCCCTGCAAATCCAAAGCGAACATGCCCTGCAAATCCAAGAGGAAGAGGGTAAGGTTCCATTTTTCGTTTCATTTTAAAAGGTGGAGTTTCGTTCTAACAAATAACACAATTAATTCTGACCTCAATGTAGAGAACGCCCTTCACAAATCACAACCAAAGAAATTATCTCCCCATTCAATTTATTCCAAACCCTTTTTTTAACATAAAAAAACCAATCCTAATGTGGCCGTGAATATTCACGGCGTAAACGCAAAGAATGTAGGTTGTACCTAACAAAATCACAAATGAATGAAGACATATCAAACCTTCATACTTAGGAAGACTCCGCCTCCAATAGATTCTGAATGTCTTTCTGCAGGAAGAAAATTAAGAGACGAAGTTAGCGGCGACCAATAACATTATTCATCAAAATGAAACATAAATAGAAAGGGAATTTTCTTTTTCTCTGACCTCAATTTTGAGAGGAGATGTGGTAGGAGCATATCTCTCCACAACCTTCCCCTCCTTATTTACCAAAAACTTTGTGAAGTTCCATTTAATTCCGTCTCCAAGGAAACCCCCTTTCTGTGATTTTAGAAATTTGTAAAGGGGAGCTGCATCCTTCCCATTCACCTCAACCTAACAAACAGACTGAGATTTCAAACCAAAATAGCAAGATACGAGTCCAATATAAAAAAAAATTAAAAAAAATTAAAAAAAAAAAGAAAGACGGACCCCAGTGCCAAAGAGGCTCCCGTACTATGACAGGTTCGGGAGAAAGCTCAATCCCTTATGTACGCGGCCTTACCCCCCAAAGGAGAGGCCGTTTCCGGGATTTGAACCTTGGACCCCGGGTGCAAACGCAATCGCTCCCACCACGTTGGTTTGGGTGAGAAATTCCCCGGAAGAATTATGTTTATTTTACAGACAAAAAGTGATATTAAGATAACCTTGCTGCATGTGAAATGGTATCGAGAGATAGAGCAGCATTTCTTTGTAATTGGACAAGGAATAAAAGAACATTTTCAAATAGATTGAAAAAAATTTGTCTGCGTTTAAGCTATTTTTAGCATGGGGAAAAAATGGAACCAACAATTGGTAGGCGAATAGTATTCCAAGAACATAGGCATGAAGAGTAGACCGGTTTGATGCTATTTTTTTTTTTTTTTAAAAGGATAGAAGCATAATCATTCATATGAAGTTTTAAGAAATTATTTTTTTTTAAAAGGATAGAAGCATAATCATTCATATGAAGTTTTAAGAAGCTTTTATATTTTCCTTCAATTATGAGGATTACCTTATCAAAGATTGGGAATTCAGCTTTGAACCTAGTGCATACAACCTCCTGAATTTCCTCGTTGCTTCCCGGTTCTTGTCCTGCAAACTGGTTGCAAGGGAATGCCAAGATCTCAAAACCTACAAGAGATATAGGCAAGACAAGAAACCATTTAATTCTTACAAACCACACCCTTTTTGCTGTTAAATTCTGAAACATGAATTAGCTAGTGTAGAGCACGGCTATGCGAGAGAATTGAGTTTCATAACATACCCTTGTTTTTGTACTTTTCGTAAAGAACATTCAACTCCTTGTAGTTTGATTGTGTCAAACCACTGCAAAATTACAACGAGAGAATAAAATTTGCGTTCAATGTCGTAGAAAAAAAAAAAAAACGCATAGTTGTTACTGTGACGAAGTTTATGCATTCCTTTAGAAGTTCTAGTACTAGTTGTAGAGATAACTTCTTACAGAAATGTAACTAGCACTCCATCACCAAAACTGTACTTAATATGCTATGACATTGCTAAGGTTTTGTTTCGGAACCGAGTTCTGAGGGAAGCAAAAGAGACTTCTTCTGGTGCAGTGGAAATGGAGTTCTTGATAAACGAGAGAATTCAAAACAACAGTACTACTGAATGAAGTCTTTAAGGACTTCCATTTTCTTTAATTATTTTGAACTGGAGAGATATAATGGGCCGACTAGTTATTGAGGTGGTGTCTTGAGAACTCTTGTCCTCATTTCCTTTGAACTATCTTCAGATCAACAAAGAATGTTTCTTATAAAAAAAGAAAAATGAAAATACAACTCAACATTATTGATTGAACGAGAAAAACTGAAAGAAAAGGAAATTTCTTGGGAAATTTACAGAGAAAAAGGTAACTTGGCCGGCTCGGTGGCAGGCTATGGTCCTCCGTCGTGTTCCGGAACCAAATTCAGGAAATATTTTCTTTTAAAAGTTGCATCTAATTATGGAACATGAAATATTTTCTATGTTTCCAGAACCAAATTCAGTTGGTCGAATCATTGATAAATAAGCATCTCTACCTTGTGTTCGACAATATCAATACCGCACCCTTTTGCATTCCATTCCTAAATACCGGCTTTCATCGGACGGAATCAAGTCTAAAGCAGTTTTCATTTGAAACAATCCCAATCGTAAAATTTTTACTATTTTAACCACTCTCTTGGATCAAACAGAAGTTCTTCAAGTATGTTAGACAAAATAACTATTAAGAGGCTTATCAGAAAATTCAAAATCCTGAGTTAAGACAATGATACAAGATTAGCAAAATAATTATTCATAAAAGAAGTCAACAAGTTACTTTGCTTACCATTTTGAAGCAACGTTCACAATCAGAAGAACCTTTCCACTATATTCACTTAGACTCGCATCATTCCCACGAATATCCTGTAAATTGAATTCAATTACCAACTAAATCAAGGGGGGGAAAAAAATATAGGATTTCTATAGAAAAGGAAAATAAATAATTTCCAATTGGTAAATCATCAATTTACTCTTTATATTAACGCTTAACAAATCAAATAAATAACAACAACTGATTTACAAAAGAGTTTTTAACATTTCCCACGAATATCCTGTAAATTGAATTCAATTACCAACTAAACCATGGGGGAAAAAATATAGGATTTCTATAGAAAAAGAAAATAAATAATTTCCAATTGGTAAATCATCAATTTACTCTTTATATTAACGCTTAACAAATCAAATAAATAACAACAACTGATTTACAAAAGAGTTTTTAACATTTCCCACGAATATCCTGTAAATTGAATTCAATTACCAACTAAACCATGGGGGAAAAAAATATAGGATTTCTATAGAAAAAGAAAATAAATAATTTCCGATTGATAAATCATCAATTTACTCTTTATATTAACGCTTAACAAATCAAATAAATAACAACAACTGATTTACAAAAGAGTTTTTAACATTTCCCACGAATATCCTGTAAATTGAATTCAATTACCAACTAAACCATGGGGGAAAAAATATAGGATTTCTATAGAAAAAGAAAATAAATAATTTCCGATTGATAAATCATCAATTTACTCTTTATATTAACGCTTAACAAATCAAATAAATAACAACAACTGATTTACAAAAGAGTTTTTTAACATTCATCATCAAAACCTTCCAATTGTAAGAGCACAAAAAAGGGTAATACAAATAAAGTCCAATAGAAAAAAGATAGAAAACCCAAATAGATTTACCAATTACACAAACTAAAATACTAGAGATTAATTAATAGAGAAATACTTTGAAGAATGATGCTTTAAATGAATTAGAAAGAACTAGAAAATAAATGAATTAAAAAACCTTGACAGTGAAATCGTAGATGGATTTGGGAGTGTCGTCAGAGGTGGCCATCTTTTGGTTGGATAAGAAGAAGAAGAAGAAGAAAATTGCAAAACCAAGAAAGACGAGAGAAACACAGTTGCTGAATTTCACCAAATGCATATGCTTTTATGCATGTAAAATTCAAAACCGCTTTCTGTATTGCTATATATATACATATACATATATACATACCCATCACGGTCACGATGACGAGATTGCCTATTTATTGCAGACGTTGTTGACCATTTTTCCTCCTTATTTTGTTCAGTAATGTCAGCAATAACGAACTCAAATCTCAATTTTTTACGTCAATTTACGTGGTAATAAATTGTTATTATTAATTAATAAATACAATCTATTATTATTAATTCATGTAATAATATTTTAAATATTTATTAATATAAAAATAATAACTCATATATCATATTAATTAATATATAAAAATTGAGATTTTACATTTTTTAATTAGTAAATATAATTTATTTTTATTAATTGACGTGATAATATTTTAAACACTTATTAATGTGAAAATGACAACTCACATAACATGTTAATTGATACATAAAAATTGAGACTTGAGTTTGTTTCCTTAACATTATTCTTGTTCTAAAAAATACCATCCATAAAAGATTATTCTCTTTTTTTTTAATAAAGAACGACTCCCTCTTTGATCAATCAAAACTTAAAACAAAGAAAAATGGTATTCATTCTCATTGTAATAAATTTCCATACTTACAAAACGAAGGGTCCCACTTACTGATTTGACGAGACTCATTTTGAATAAATAGTGTGATTTTAACCCATAACGATAAATAGAAATGCTCTAAAACAAATGATTTTCCTAAACTGTTGTTTTACATTTGATAATTTTAAGTCTTCTTCAGTTTGTCGATTTAATACAGTAAAAATTTTTTATATAAAATTACATCTCAACTCAAATTAATAAACTAAACAAATTTTTAATTTTCCTTAAAAAAAATTATGTGATTTGATTTTAATTATTTTTCTTGTCATGGCCGCCAGGTGTGAGCGGTTTTAATAAAGGGGTTGGAGTTGGTAGGACAAAGCTAAATTGACTTCAATTAATGCTCCATAACCATAAAAAAAAATACAAGAACTTTATTTTATTTATTTATTTATTTAGGACCTTAGGAGCTAATTGAAAAAAAATATATATATTATATAGAATTTGTTTGTGATGTTGACAGCGAGATGCTTATGCAAGCAAGCAACCGGAAATGTCAAGATTTGTTTACATTTCGTACATCTAACCAGCCCTTGTACTTTTCTTTTCTTTTTTATTTTTATTTTTTGTGAATTTTTTTGTACTTTTTAAAAATATATTATTTCTCATCTTATTTTTATGAGAATAATTTTTTTTATGTAATTCTATTTTATTTTTAGTTGATTAAAATAATTTTTTTTAAATGTATTTTTTTTTGTTTTTTTTATCAATTGTTATTTTTACACATATTTTTTAAAAAATAACTTCAAAAATTCTTAAATAGTTATATAAATAAATTTTTCATTATTTGATAAATAATAAACTTTTCAGTTGTCATTAACAAGATAATGCGTGTGGAGCAGGTTATAAAAATAGTAACATTTACATACACAAGAGAGATATGTGTCAATCTGAAAATAAAAATAAAAATGAAACTACTAAAGAAATATCTTTCAAGCAACAGGGAAAAAAAAAGTTATAGGAAGAAAATGAAAGAATTTTTTTAATCTCTTAAAAATAAGGAAAATACCTAAGACACCGTTTGTAGTTTGCCCAAAAACAACCTTTGTCCCTCTTATTTTCAAATGTCCAAAACACCCCTTAGGTTTTTAAAATCAAACTCAAAAAGTCAAAAATATTCCTGAAGTAATTAAGGGCATGTTCTTTTGTCCATAAAACTCAAAAAAAAAGACAACTCAAGTTTTAACTTTATTCAAATTCACGTTCTTTTAAGTTTCAATTTTATTCAATTTTACTCAGCTTTATTCAAGTTCTAACTTCAACTCAAGTTATAACTCAAATTCAACTCAAAAATTACACTCAAGTTACACTCCAAAGAACAACCCTAAAGTCCTAGAAATATCAAGGTTATCATTCTCAATCTATACCAAAATGAAAAGGCCAAAAACGGTTAACAAGAAGACTAATAACAAAACATTTATAATAAGCACCTTTTTTTTTTTCAAAAATTGTACTTAGCACGTTTGCACTTTATAATATGGGATTATAAATCAGCAGACAAAACTGTAAAGAATTTAAATTAATGAATTTCCTCAAAAGAAATACCAAATAAGTTGCAGGGCCCATTTAGAATGTATATTCAAATCATGATTTTTTATTCTGACGTTTAAAATTTAAATCTTTTATGAGAAAAAAATACTATAACAGAATCAATGATTTGGACATGCTTTTTCTCTCATTTCCTCCGTTTATTTCTGTTGAAGATTTTTATAATCATTTGAGCATGTCATAGATTACTATTGGTATTTTGTTTTCCTTTATCTTGAAGTTTAATCTATGTTTTCAAATGTTTTTAACTTAAGCAAGAAGGAGGATATGATTCTTTGAGAAATAAATGTGTGTGATAAAAGATGCAAAATAGTTGTAAATATGTAACAATTTCTAGTAGGGGCAAGCCAAATTGTTTCTGTACGAAATTATAAAACGATTTCATTAATTTAAAGTTTTTCTTCATAAAATCCCTTGCACTCTAGAAATAACCTCAAGAGGGAAAAAAGAATGAAAACATATACCGTGTTTAGAATTGATTCTGTTTTTATTTTTCACGTTTTTTTGAGAAAGAAAAAATGAAAACGTTTTCAAAACTGCGTTTGACACAATAAAGGCAAAAAATGAAAATGAAAACGATTTGTTAGTTTAGTGTAAAATGATAAAGAAATGAAAAACGATGATGTTTTTTTTATTTTTTGTTTTCGTTTTCTCCTCTCTCGAGTAGAGAGAGACATTAATGAGTTTTTTTATACTGAAAATAATCACTTGATAAAACTACCAAACGCATTTTTAAAAATGATTTATGTCCGAGATTGAAAACGTTTTCATTGTTATTTTCATACAAAAAATAAAATTATTTTAGAACGAGTTCTAAACGCGCCTATAAATACAATCTTTGTAAAGAAAAGAACAACAACAAAAAAAATCATATATGTCAATATTCTAATCTTGATTCTTTCTTGCAAAATATAATCTACAGAACTAATGCGCTATGCTGGAGAACAAAGATTGTCTGAGGAAATGCGAAGTAGATTATCCATGGAAATGCGAAGTAGATTATCCATCAAATAAACTCAGAGCAGAAGGCATGAAAATCCATTCAAAAATATTTTTATGCTTTTGCTACCTAAGCTAAAATAACTATAATCCTTATTGTGTACTATATGAAATAATATGTTAACAAATGTGATCTTTATACATTCAGCAAAAAAATAAAAATAAAAATAAAAAATAAAAAAGTGGCCAATATGCATATATACTTATTTGTTTGCCTATCTAAACTTTTTTTTTTTTTTCAAAATTTTCCATGCTTTAACATATTTTTCACACAGCCTTCTAAATGTTATTTTCTCATATGTACCGCAGATAATTTTAGGGTATAATTTCCCCAATAATTTTTTCCCTCAAAATATATTTTACTTAAAAATAGTCTTATTAAACTAAAATTTTAAGAGTGATAAATTGAGATTATAAGCTAAACTTTAAATGAAAAAAATGGCTTCTCGTATCAAAAAAATTCAACAAGTTGAATACACATCGTGCTCAACCATTTAATACATGAAAATAACACTTAGGGGACGTTTGGTTGGAGGATTCAAACCATAATTTGAATAATGGTTTATGGTTTGTTACAGTGTTTTTTTTCATAAAAAATACACGTAAATCGAAAATAATTCTAATCACATGATTCTAATCCATGAACCAAACGTCTTCTTAAATACCAAAAACCTCAAAAACAAAAAAAAAAAACGTTTGGACTCGAACTAGCTGTTAGGATTGTCCGATTAACCGGATGAAATAATTACATAAAATGTCTATTATTGATGCTTTAATTTTAAAAATATCGATTATTATACAATATCACAAAAATGCTCATTAGAGGTTTCTAAGGCATATATGTTACCAGATATGCCTTTATGGGTTATTTTGAAGGTATATTTCATAAATGGCTGATTTTTATTTTACGTAATCTGTTTGTTTTTTCTCATAATATTACACATATTTACTTTCTTTTTTAACTTTAATTGATTGTCTGTAGTCAAATATTTGATTTATTTTTAAGATTTCCCCTCTGCTCTTTTTTTTTGAATTTTGGCGTGAATAATTGTGGGGGAAGAACATTTTTTCTTTTTTGTTTGTGGGGGTTTTTTTTTTTTTTTTTTTCAATTCTTTTACATGTTTCCACACAATTTTTGTTCGGGCTTATGGTGTTGTGGAATGTTCTTATTTTCGATTGTTTTGATATTTTTTTATCATCATTAAACTTCTATTCTTTATGATAATACTTGTATTCACATTTTATTGCACATAGTTAACACTTTTTTATTATTTTTTTTATTCATGTCATAAAACTTGTATTAATTCTTGTAAGAAGTGATCATACAACGAAACACCTCATCTATTTATAGCATAAAGATCATAATTAGAGATCATAAGAGAATGCATAAATTACATGTAAAATTAAGGAGGAATAATAGAGAGATAATACACAATATTAAGAGGGGAAATAATGGGGTCTAAATGAATGGTTTAAATATAATAAATTGCAAAACAAAATTTGTGTTAAAAATACATTTCATCACTTTAGAGCATGTGCTATGGCATAATTGATGTGTCAATTGAAAATTTAACATTTGTGTGCAAAACATACTCTTCAATATAATGCTATTTGTCGAGTTAAATTTTTCATATATTATACTTTGTGGTAAAATTCTCATCAAATATAATAGCATATGAGAAATTAGGCACTTAATTTCTATTGTATATGGTTACTTTTTTTATTTAATAATTATAATTTTTGCCTTTTCAAATTATTTTAAAATTAAAAACTTACAATTACAACTTTCAAAACTTTATAGAAAAAAGTAACATGTTAAAAGCTTACTATTGAAAGCTTAACGTTTCAAATAACATTATACATTAAAGCACAAATAAAAATAACACGTCATATCATATTTTTTTGTATCAAATATACAATTAGTATAAATATTTACATTGGAGATGGTCTTAGAAACCTTTTATAAACGTTTAACACAATTTTACAAATGTGTGAAATTCTAAAGTGTGCGTAGACAATAAAAATAACATGTTATATCATACTTTTTAGTGTTAAATATACTATTAGTATAAACACTTACGTTAGAGATGGTCTTAGAAACCTTTTGTAAACGTTTAACACAATTTTACAAATGTGTGAAATTCTAAAGTGTGTGTGAGCAAGAGCCACATTTAACATAAACTTAACCAAGTGCTCAAGTTCTAGACATGTCTTGTAGTCTTTTATTTTCAAGTTCTAATGACCCGTTTAGTTCCATAATTTGAGTTGAGATGTGACTTTATGTGAGAGCTTTTTATTGTAGTAAAAATGTTAGATGTGACTGTTTCTGAGAGTTTTTTACAATAACAAAACTCAAATTCTAATAATATATTTTTTTGAAGTTCATCGTCTAACTTTATGATCCTAGAGCTTTCTTGAGATTTCCTCAATGAATCTTCAAGGTTCTAGAAATCTTTGATACAAATTAAGCTCTCAAGAAGATTTGTTAGAAATTCTAAATCAATAGTTAGGTATCATCAAAACAATAGTGGCTTAGTTCTATTGTTTTGCCTAGTGGCCTACCAGGAGGCCGAAAGAGGAAAGAACGCAAGAGAGGAAACTTGAGGGAGAAGAAGAGAAAACTGTGCGCCTAACTTAAAAACAATGAATGCCAAAGAAAAAATAAATTCGTGCCATTAATATGGTTCTCTCTGTTTTCTATTTTCTATCTTGCTTCATTTTTTTTTTTTTGGGTTCTGAATTAATCTCAGTGGTGTCATTGAATTTTAAAATTATTTTCACTTTGTCTCTTAAATTTTAAAAACTCTCACTTTACCTCGTAAAGTTTGAATTTGTCAATCAGACGAAAAAAGAAGGGTAAAGTGTGGATATATGGCGCCATAGGTACCAAATATCATCCTGTGTGACCTTGACAAAAGGGCGGAGGTGGAAGATGGCAAGGTATGGTTGATCTGGGTTGTATAAGAACTCTTGTGGATTGACCTTACAGACTCTGGATAAATGGTCGAGTAAAGTGATAGTTTTTAAAATTTAAGAGCTAATTGAGAATTACTCTAAAATTCAACGGCTCAGTGATAATAGTCTTTTTTTATTTAATTTTTATTTTTATTTTTGTAAATGTTGGGCCATCAAGAGATAACAAATATACAAGATGAGTATGACGAATGCCATAGGAAGATGGATCGCATACGGAATGAAGTTATTCATAGTAAAGTAGGTGTAACACCAATAGAAGATAATGTGCGAAAAAATCATCTGAGGTGGTACGAGTATGTACAAAGTAGATCGTTAGATGCATCTGTTTGTGCTTGGGAGAACATCTAAATACCTAGTATTAAGAGAGCGAGGGGTAGACCAAGAATTACCTGAGTTGACGTAGGACTGACGTAATTAGGCACGATTTTCAAAATTGTTTCAGTAAGATCTCATATTTAATAAAACAGATTGGAAATGAGAAATTTATATAGCCGATCCCAATTAATTTAGGATTAAGGCTTGTATTTATTGTTGTTGTTGCATTTTTTATTTTTTATTTTTTTTAAAATTAAAACCAAAGAGAGTGTTTAGGGTTATATTCCTTCTGGGTCACTTGATCCGACTTCTCATTTGCAAGTAGCAGCAGCAGCGTAAAAGACCCGAAAGTAGAACACTGAAGAGAACCCAAAAAAAAAAGAAAAAAAAGCATCTTCCTCATCCCAATTTGATTTTCTTCTCCAAAACCAAAAACCTCAAGAAACCCTAAAAATGGAGGAAGTCTGCGAGGGCAAGGACTTCTCCTTCCCAAAGCAGGAAGAAACCGTCCTCTCCTTCTGGTCCGACATCAAGGCCTTCGAGACTCAGCTTCTCCGCTCCCAGAATCAGCCCGAATACATCTTCTACGACGGCCCTCCCTTCGCCACCGGCCTCCCTCACTACGGCCACATCCTCGCCGGCACTATCAAGGACGTCGTCACCCGCTTCCACGCCATGACCGGCCACCACGTCACCCGCCGCTTCGGCTGGGACTGCCACGGCCTCCCCGTCGAGAACGAGATCGATCGCAAGCTCGGCATTACCCGCCGCGACGAAGTTCTGAAGATGGGGATCGATAAGTACAATGAGGAGTGCAGGAGCATTGTCACGAGGTACGTGGGGGAGTGGGAGAAGATCGTCACCAGGACTGGAAGGTGGATTGATTTTGGGAATGATTACAAGACCATGGACTTGAAGTTTATGGAGACTGTTTGGTGGGTTTTTGCCCAGCTCTATAAAAAGGGCCTTGTTTATAAGGGTTTTAAGGTTAGTTACTTCTTGCTTCTGATGATGATTTTGTTCAGATTGTTCTTCAAGTAAACAAGAATAGAGCTTGGTTAATTTTCTGATGCGATTTGAAAAGCATTTTTGATTTATGGTAGAGAACCGTGTATTATAAGCATTATTGATCAGTTTTAAGGGTTTTTAAGGTAGGTTTGAAAGCATTGTTGATTTGGGTGTTGTTATTATCTCCTTTTTACTTGGGATGGGCAAGAGAGCGTTCAAATTAACTTGTACAACAGAAATAGACAATCAATAAGAAGGAAATTGTATTCTTCATTTTTTTTTTTTTTTGGGATTGTGGCTTTGGTTTGTAGGAGGGTGGCTGAATGTAGTGTTGTAGAAACTTATGTGAAGACGAATATGAGATTGGCAACTGCTCCATGGATTTTTGGGGAGATAACCAGCACCTTTCCCATGGGAAGGAAATATAGTTGCAATCTTAGGAATGCGAGAGACCCTTTTTTTTTTTGTACATTAATTTCTTCCATATATGTGGCTTGATAAGGTGCTTTTTTTTTAAAATATATTTTTTGGGTTATTGATACTATTATAGTCTCAGAACTTTAGGTGTAGTGACAGTTTGGTCCCCGATCTTATAAATTTGGCATATTAGTCCTTAAACTTTCACTTTTTGACAGTTTGTCACTGGCATTAAAATAGCGAATGATTTCTAAAATTTAACAAAGATGATCATGTGTCTGTCTAGCGCATGATAACTTTAAATCTTGTAAAAGTAGTTACATTATGGGCATGTTTACTTTGCATCAAAGGGAAATGGGAAATAAGGAGTGATTCTCTTTCCCATCTAATAATGTGTTTACTTAGAAAATTAGTAATGGAGATTTAGTGGGCCCTACACAATATAGGAAATGAGAAAGGGAATACCCTTATGGCTTGTTCACTTACCAGGTTTGACGAATGAGAGTGAGGAATGAGAGTCAATCACATGTTTACTTGTTCTTTTTTATCTTGGAATGAGAGTGGGATTGGTGGACCCCACTCAATTTTGAGATTGAAGAATGGGAATAGCACTCCCATGTCCCCCCTTGGGATTGAGACTCCCATTCCTGATGTTAACATTAAATTAATATCATACTCCTATTAAACTTGTAAACATAAAATTTAAAATAAAATTCAAAAAACAATAATTACAATATATATTTATTATTTTATTTGCCTAATATTATAATATTATCCTAATTATTGTTAATTTTAATATAATAAATATGTACTTTATTTGTTTAATAAATTAATAATATATTTTAATTTTTTAACATTAGTTTTTATTTATATTTATTTTATTTAAATTTTAACAATTTATTTTTATATTTTAAGTAATTGTACAATTTATATTATTTTATTACCCTAGTATTACACTAAATCTTTTAATTATGATTTATTTTGATATAATAAGTACACAATTTATTTTTTAAATTAAAAACATAAAATTGACTTAAAGGGTACATTAGTACTTTCACATTATTTCATTCTGATTCTGGGCATAAGTAAATGCATGAATGGGATTTGGAGTGACTCTGATTCTGAATCATGTCACCAAGTAAACAACTTATTCTAACTCCGAATCCTACTCACTCCGAATCCTACCCACTCTGATTCATGCCCATTCCGATTACGCATAGGTAAACATGCCATTAGTATTGATTCCTTGCCAAAGGGAATGAATGCCTTAATCCTACTACTTTACTTTCCTTTCCAATCCTATTACCTTTCCCATTACATTCCTTTACGGTTTGGTAAATGCACCCATATGTAATTATTTATGTAAAATTTTCTATTTGTTACTATTAACTGTTGAAAATTTTAATATTTTGCACTTATTGTAATTATTTATGTAAAATTTTCTTTTATTATGCGATAAGGATATGATTATCTGCACTATATCTTAGAAATTGTTCGTCAATTTTAGTGTCGGACAAAAACTGGTTCATTCATTTTAGTGCCAGTTACTAAAACCGTTTAAAAAATGAAAGTTCAAGGACTAATATGCCAAAATAGGGATCAAAATATCACTATACCAAAAGTTTAGAGACTAAACATACCAATTACCCTTTTTTTAAGAATATCTATCTATGTTGACTATTTGCTTTTCTTTTTGTAGGTCATGCCGTACAGCACTGGTTGCAAGACACCACTGTCTAATTTTGAGGCTGGTGAAGATTATAGGGTTTGTTGTTTGCAACTTCTGTTCAGTTTATTTCAATGAAATTGTTTATTATGGGCATGACTGATTTTATTTCGTTTGCTTTATGGGCTTGAGCCGTGAGCCCAAATCAATTGGTAAACTTGGGTTCGGTCTACTCTGTGCTTCAACCACCACTTTTTGTTGATTGGGTTGCTTTCTTAGTCTTTAATTTTTCTAATCTTATTTGAGTAATGTAGGATGTGCCTGACCCTGAAATAATGGTGGCTTTTCCGATTGTCGGTGATCCACAAAATGCAGCTTTTGTGGCTTGGACGACAACTCCATGGACTCTTCCTAGTAATCTTGCTCTTTGTGTCAATGCAAATTTTGTTTATGTTAAGGTTGGTTTAGTTACATCCCTCATGTCTTGCATTTTGTCAGAGTAATGCATTAATGGTGTTTTCTAGTGTTAATTGTCAAAATGCTTGTAATGGCTACATTGGCTAGTTATTGCCTCTTATTAGCTATAACCATCTAACAAAATGTCTTCCAGGTTTCTAATCATTGATTTTGATTAGGTTTAGTGTAATTAATGTATATTTTATCTCTTTATTACCTTTTGACTATCTAATTTGAGAATGGGGCCTCATCAGGTTCGCAGCAAGCATTCTGGAAAAGTTCTTGTACTTGCCGAATCTCGATTGTCTGAACTTCCTAGAGAAAAGCCAAAGCAAAGCGCAACTAATGGACCTGTTGATGATTCAAAGAAATCAAAAACTAAGACATCCTCAGGTGGAAAGAAGGAAAGTATTGAGGATTCTTTTGAGGTTTTGGAAAAAGTTACGGGGGCTTCACTAGTGGGAATGAAGTAAGCACTTTTGTCACTCCTTTAACACAACCTTTGAGTTCTTTCAGATACTCTCTATTATTTCTCTTTGTTTTATTTTCATATCGTATAACCTAAAGCTGCTGCTTTTCAGTGAATAGCTATTCAATAGTAAGGGCTTTTTTTTTTTTTTTTTTTTTTTTTTTTTTTTTGGGGGGTAACCACTGTTCAATTACTTTTCAGAGTTCTCTGAAGTAGCATTTAGAGTTGTTGCAGACAATTATGTTACTGATGGTAGTGGTACTGGCATAGTCCATTGTGCTCCTGCATTTGGTGAAGATGATTATCGTGTTTGCATGGAAAATCAGGTTATCACTAAGGTTCGTGTAGACAACCAGAGTCTTAAGTTTTGTTGGTGTAACAAGTTCAACAAGCTGAACTTGTTTTTTGACCTTGTTTCTCAACCTAAATATTTTAACAGTAATTTTGATATCACTGGGAATCATATTTATGCCCCCTCCTTGTCATTATTGGGTATTATTTGTTTCTCTTCTCTTTGCTTCAAGTTTAGTGGCTGTTTTCATTTGAAATAACTTTAGGGATATGTTAAATTTTATGCTGAAGAGCTGTTGTGGAAATTGTTTGGGCAATTTGGTTCAAGTTTAACAGTAGAATCTTTGTAGAATGTTGGGAGTTGCAGAGTCCGGAACAGTATTAAGTGTGGGATATCATTTTGTATCTCCAAAGACATCTTGTGCTCTTTTATTGTTATTCCATTTAAACTAGTGTATTTTTCTTTTCATGATTCTTAGGACAAAAAAAGAAAAAAAGAATGCAAAAGAAACTGTCATTCTATTTCTTTTTATTTCACTACATGGTTTTGGTGCATTTTTCCCCCCATAGGAAGTTTGTTGCTTACACGGTTGCTTACAGTTTCAGCACAGGAGCCCTTTCTACATTATGAATTTCCCGCCTCATTTAATGTTTTGTTTTATTAGGAATTTATTGCCCCTTTAGAATGTTCCATTTCATTCTTCCTCCACCAGAGATTTAATGAGTTTCAGCAAGATTTTGTAGTTTTAGTCTACTAATACTTTTAGCCATCCCTTGGGGTATATGGTTAGAAAGAAGCAGCAGTCTTTGAAGACCGGGAGGAAGATGTTTTAGTCGTATGAGATAAGATATTGGGTCTCACTGTGGGTTTACAGGGACAGAGATTTTGGCAAGCCGATTTTTTCGGATTTTGTCTGGAGCTGGGCTCCTTTTTTGTAGCTTTCCTCATTTTATTTGGTTTAGTTGTTGGGGTTTTTAATTTTGTTTGATTCTCTTTGTATTGTGGAGCAGGGTTGTTTGAGGAAACTCTTCCTCTTTTTTCTCCCTGTTCTTTATTTCTCAATCAATACATTTCCTTGTTTCTTTTTAAAAAAAAAAATATTTTTTATGCGAACAAGTTTGAAAACTTCAGTTATGTCTATCCTGTAAGTTTTTGCATTTTGCTCATGGTGATTGTTTATTTTATATTTGTCCATGTCCTATTGGCTTGCAGGGAGAGAACCTGATCGTAGCAGTTGATGATGATGGCTGCTTTACTTCAAGGATTACGGATTTCAGTGGGCGCTATGTCAAGGATGCAGATAAAGATATTATTGAAGCAGTAAAGGTATGTTCTATAGAAAACGATTGATTGGAGTGTTTTAACGGAAGAAATCATCAGTGATAAGGATTGATAGAATAACTTCTGTACAGTTTTCATTTCTTCGTTTCCCTGTTCATGTACAATGGTTGTTATGTCAAAATCTATAGCCGTCAATCTGGTAGGTGTTGACTGTACATTTTGTTTAAGCAGTGTCCTTCCTATTTTCTTAGGCAAAGGGAAGGCTCATCAAGACTGGAACAATCACACATTCTTATCCTTTTTGCTGGAGATCTAAAACTCCTCTAATTTATAGAGCTGTTCCAAGCTGGTAAGTACATTTCATTGTGCATGTTTATTGATTGAGCATTATGTGGAAGCTTAGAGAGCCACTAAATAGTGGAACTGTAGAGGTGGGTGGTGTAGTTGAGAAATTAATGGAACCTTCAGTGGAGTTTTGGAAAAAGTGTGCAGGCTTGATTACAAGTGACATAGACAAATAAATAATTGGATTATTTTCATAAATACCCCCGGAACTATGTACCTTGTTTCAAAGTGCCCCTTGATTTTTCAGAACGATTTAAAACATCCCCTGATATATAGAAATAGATCAAATTGGACAGAGGGGGCAATTTGATCTATTTTCTATTAGGGGGTGTTTTGAATCGTTTTGAAAAATCGAGGGGCATTTTGAAACAAGGTACATAATTCAGGGGGTATTTATGAAAATAATCCTAATAATGTTCAAGAACGTAATCAGTTATGAGTCATGACTGCTGATCTATTAGGCTTTATGCATGCCATTTTATTGAGATTTCTTTCATACTTTTTTATGGCAATTCAATTTTCTAGCTATTGGGATGCCTTTTCCTTTACTTGGTAATTTTGTACAAATTGCATCTTATTTCATTTTCAATATCGGAACGTTTAATTAATAACCAACAGTTCTATTTTTCTTATATCTTGCTTTTAAGGCTTTCTTTTTTCCTTTGAGCTTCTTTTGTAATCCCAATTCCGATGATTAGACGGGGCTTTATTGAGTTTTATTGTTTCTTTCTAGGTTTATTCGGGTGGAACAATTAAAAGATCAATTATTAGAAAACAACAAGCAGACATATTGGGTTCCTGATTTTGTGAAGGTACAACATCATATACTGAGTGACATTGGTGTTCTCTATAAACTTTGTTCAAGTATTCTGATGGAGGCGAAGTTCTTAAGTCGGAAATGTTTATGGATTTCTACTTGTCATTTAGGAAAAACGTTTTCACAATTGGCTGGAAAATGCGAGAGACTGGGCTGTTAGTCGAAGTAGATTTTGGGGCACCCCTCTTCCTGTGTGGATCAGCGAGGACGGAGAGGAAATAGTTGTTATGGATTCCATTGAGAAACTTGAAAAGCTTTCTGGTGTCAAGGTTTGAACCTTTCTTCTCTATCACTCTCTCTCTTTCTCGCACATGCGCACTCGCACTCTGTATATTCACACTATAAGGGCTCGTTTGATTAAATTATTATACTCGTTAACTACTTTCCCAAAATTAGAGTTTTCCCCACCAACTTTGATGCGGGTGTTAGTTTTTGTCTGTTAACTTTCGAACAATGTCAACCTGACTTTTAAAAATATGAAAATTTTAATCTGGGTTAAATGTGATATTTAGAAAATAATATTTTCATAACCCTCGTTACACATATGCTTAGGATGCGTGTAGGTATATAGGTATGTATGTCCGTGAGTTTTCTGGGCGATTTTCTTGGTTCATGTAACATCTATTGGGTTGGAGAAATGCTGATGGATTTTTTTCCCTTCTACATTACTTTGCTTCCCTACTTTTGAAATTAATATTATTTTTGTGCTTATGCGGAAAATATTATATTATTAAACGTATCTTGATCTTTTCTGATATTCACAGGTATTTGACCTGCATCGGCACAATATTGATCACATCACAATTCCATCCGGCCGTGGTCCTGAGTTTGGTGTTCTACGGCGCATTGATGATGTAAGTTTTCTGAATCTTTGTTTTTGAGATTCTAGTTATAAGCATCATCCCTATTCTCCTCTGAGCCGGTTGCATAGAAGATTTATCTTTTTGCTGTAAGAGGCTTCTAGCCTTTTTGAAATGTGATTTCATTCTTTTACTTCCAATTTTTGCTACTTTCTTATTTTACGAGCCTAATCTGAAGAAATAGTTCCATCTACATTTAGTTTCTGCCATTTGACCCTTTATTCTTAGAATTTTATTAGCCTTCCTTCTAGATAAAAATGGAAAACCTTCTTAAGGATGAAAAGTGTGCAAAGTCTGCAAATTCCTTTGCTACTGTATGTTGCATTGATTTCATTTATGTGTAAGTTTTTTCTTCTTTTTGTGCTTTTATAAGTAAAGAAAGAAATCTACTCTAGCCCATCTCCCTGTCGAATCGAAAGAGCAAAAAGATAAAAAAGTAAAGGAAAGGAAACAAGTTAAAGAAGGAAAAAGGAGAGCAATGAGTCAACCTACGAAAAAGAAAAAAAGACCCATATCTACTCTGCCCATGCAAAATAAATTAAGGACTAGGAAAATCCCAAAAACCTTCTAAAAGTACAATCCCATTACGAAACCAAAATCATAATCCTATTCAAAACCTCCTATTCATCACCATTCCTTTATTTCCATTATAAAACCATACGGCATATAAAGTAGCCAAAACTGAAGTGCCCTACAATATCTTACCTTTAATTTTCCTGAAAAGCAATACAGCCCCTTGGCATCGTCCATGTTAAATTGCACTCTTTTAGAACTTTATTTACACCACACGGAATAATTTGCCAAAATTTCACTATTAGCTTTACATAAAAAACACGCCACTGTGGAAGAAAAAAGGATTCATTATATTAGTTTTCCTAAGAGCAGCCAGCCAAGCAAATATGTTAAAGGGAGCATGCACTTTTAAAACAAACCC